TATATGCATAATATTAATATATATATATATATATATATATATATATATAAATTAAAACAAATCAATTTTCTAATTTCTTCATAATTATTTTTTATTCTCCAAGAAAAATATATTGCAAAATTAATATAAGAAAACAATCGATATGGAATGAATAACCAATAAATTATTTTTTGCAAAAACATAATGTAAAAGTTAACTAAAAACTATAAAAAAATTCTAAAATAGTTTCTTAACTTTCAATAGTAATTACAGAAATATAAAAATATACGCGAAATATAGATACATTCCTACAATAATTCTTTTACTATATATCGCTCGAATGCATTCACGAATCACCTCGTATAAAATTTCCTCTCGTCGGTAATATAGCCTCAGTTTCCGGTTGCCCATTATCAACCATGTTCAACGACAGATTTTCGATCCACCGTCCAACCATCATGATCGCCTCGAAACTTGGTTGGCTCGTTCCATTTTCGTGGGTCGATAAACGGCCGATGAAAATGGCGGGAAACCGTGGAACGTTTCTCGCGCGATGCGCAGCGGTCTCGGTGAACCGTGACGAGGGAGGGGGGGACATCGAGATAAACGATCGACGAAGTGGACGATGTCGTGGATCGTATTCGACCCATTGGCAGGAGTTACGTAACACCTCTGCCCAGCGCTGGTGACCTCGAAATGCCGTGAACCGGTTGGAACGCGGCGCGAAATGCCTCGAATCTCTGACGTCATGCCTTTGAAACCGGAAGTCGAATTGGGGGCGTTGGAAGATCTAGGGATTATCGTCGGACAGTATTTCGTTTCGTGCATCAAAGGATCTTGGGAGTTCGAGCGTAGCGTTATCGAAATCGATTAGTTGGGAAATCGAAGAGTTGGAGAGAAACCGGAAGTTGGAGAAGCGGTTTCGGGATTTTAATTGAAATTGTTGAATCTTGGGATTAATTGGATGGATTGATTCGGTTCGAAATTATTTGCGGGAATTGAAAATGGTTGAAATTGAAAATTTTCCGACTTTTTGTTGAGAATTTATAGAATGTATAATTTGAAATTTGAAAAGAAATGAAAATGGTTTGAAATTGGAAATTTCAGGATTTTTGTCGAGAATTATATTTGATTGTTAGACTAGTGAAATTTATCAAAATGATAATTAAGGCATACAATTATTATCGATTCTAATTACGTTTAATTGAGATGGACGTTTAATTATGTTTATCTATATACCTTTATCACGTCATTCCGATCACAATCATTTATATAATATACATACGTCGACAATTCTGGCATTAATCTATAATGCTATTACGATTAAACGGCGAAATTGATACATGCCTAGTAGACAACCGATTGGAAAATAATTACAATTAATATTTTTGAATAAACATCCGCATTTTATCATATAAAAATTCCAAAAAAGATTCTAAAAATAATCGATCACATATTAGAGCCATTCCAAAGATTCCATGCGAACCCAACTTAACCTAAAAATTCCTAAAATACAAATAGACGCGTGCTGCCATTCCACGCAAAACCACAAAATTTCCCTATACCCTGTCTCTCTCTCTCTCTGGACAATTTTCTCTGCCACGACCAATCGACACTCGAATCTTCGTTCGTGGTACATTAATTAGCGAACGGATCGATGCAGAGAAAGGGAGATTTCCTCTCTTGCACAACTCTTCTCGCGTATTTCCCCTTTATTCTTGTGTTTTCCCGATCAGCACCGCTTTTATTAAGCCTCCGTTGTCCAAGTAGCTTTTCAATCCGACCGTTTTTTCGTCTCTTTCGTGTCTTTGATCCATTAGAAACCGTTTTTCGAGGAAAACCACGACGAAATAATGGAAATGGAATGGAGGAATGGATCTCTCGAACGTGCTTCAAATACCAAACTTGGCAATTTTCCTTCTTCTTTGTTTCTTCCATATAATATAAAATGGAGTTTTTTTTTTTTTTTAAGTCACTCCAAGTCGCTAATTGTAATATTTTTCTTCTCGGGCTGGAAATTTTTTAATACTCCTGAAAATAAGATTTAATAAACTGAATGTGTGTATGAATGTGAAGGATATTTTGCGCCAGGATTACGTAAATCTCTTGAAATTTGAATAAAAAAGAGACTAGAACAAACTGGAGAAGATGAATAAGTGTCTAATGTGTAGAAAAAGACAAAAGGATTCCACGATTTTCTCGTAAACGAGTTTAATCGTCGAGTGAGAATGGTCATAGAATCGTAGAAATCTTGAAAAATTCATTCTTTTGGTGGTCCCAGGTTTTGGTAATCCCGTAAAAAGATCACGTGATACTAATTTACTCATTTATTTCGATTTATTAATAATTTTGTTAAAAACGTGGAATAAAATAGGAATATTAAATAAATAATTTATAATCCGACATGATCAAAAATGAAAAATGTTCATCATAATGGAAAGAATGATTTGTTCCATGTTCAGATATTAATTTAAATTATATAACATATAAATAACATTTAAATTTTTTATACCATTGAAATTTGCGTAAACTTGTGCTTTTCATACTCGAGCATTACAGCAAGCGGATTATGGTATATAGGTTAGGTTTCGAGGTTTCATGAATGCTTACTAATTTATGTTGCGTTAGGACTGGATTAACGTGGATTAATTTCAAATTACATTTAGGTTGACGTAGATTGGATTGGGGAAAACGTTAATGAACGTGTGTACAGTGTGGTGTAGGTCAATGCTAACGTAGGAACTTTCGTCAAACTTCGCAGTAGAGTAGGTCAACGTTGGCAAAGGTTTATGTTGGCGTAAAATTCTACGTTGACGAGGGTATATAATAGTTAGCACCAATGGTACCGTAAATTCGCAATAGTTTGGATCGATTTCAAGAAAGGTCTCAATTCCAGTAATCAAGAACTCTACGTTAATCGTAATTTAAGTTAACTATAAAATGAATTATCAGAAATCCAATAAATAGTCTGAATTTTTAAAAGGTTACGTTGAAATAATATTACATCAATGCAGATATATTCTGAATTAAATATTTTCTAATCTAGGTTTAATAATCTGATTTACTGAAACTTCTGATTGAGATTAGGAATTTTTATCTCAGAATTGCAATAAAATTAACTTAGTTTAATAGACCAACTTTTTACAAGATTTAGATTGATATAAAGTAGTTCAGTAGTAGTCAATTTTCAGATCAATGCTAGAACAGCCTTAATAAGATATAGCTTATTTTACTTTACGATAAATTTTCAGAGACTTAATAAATAGATTAACTTTTTAGATCTAATCTTGGCATGCAGTTTTAGTAGTTCAAGTCAACGTAAACGTAGGTTTATTTTAATATTTACAATGTCTATGTTTACAGTAGACCGAACAAGAATTCAATACAACCACGATTACTCGGGGCAACACACAGATCCAAACCATAGCTTATTCATCTCCAAGGTAACCTAGGAGGTCTAGGTTAATCCATATCCACCATCTTCCAAGTTAAAACCGGCTCAAGCTTAGTCTAATCTACACCTGGATTAGCCTCAAATCTGCACTTACCTCCATTCAGGCCAATGCCTTCCTGTACTCTCTATATCGACGAGTAATAATGTAATGTAGATATCATTATATAGACAGACAGATCGAAGATCGACGAACAATCGAGAATGGAGCAATCGATGGAATTAGTGGTCGTGGTAAAATAGGATTCATTGTTGTATCTTCGAATACGATAAATTCGATTCGCAAATTCGTTGGCGACATAGTGCACGGTTAATCACTGGAACGACGTTTCGGCCTATTGTGCACTCTGGACACGGCCTGTGAACATGGCTAGGCTTGTCGAGTATTTTCCATCACGCGTATTTCCAGCCACTTGGTCTATATTAATGAAAATTATATTCACGAATCATATTAACGTATGAATTCGATCGTATATTTTATACGATACACGATATAAACCTGTCATTATAATTGACGAAATCCCTGGGTATCGGCTTCGCTTAATCGATTTCAGGAATACAAGTTAAATATTCATACCACACGCCAATATGTGAAATCCAATTGACTTGCTTTCGTAGCAAAATCATGCGTATTTTCTTCCTATAATATTACATATGTTTACTATTTAATATATGGTATCTCGCATCTCTGAACAGCAAAAATATGAAAAAATGTTTCAAACAAAACATTTATTTGATGTAGAAAGTTATTTCCTGGAAAAAAAGTATTAAGTTATTTATGTCGAAAAATTTTTAATTTAAAAGATATTATAATTTGAAGTTTAAAAATTATACTATATAAGAAACAAGAAACACGCGAATATTTTCATGCTTGTCTTTTTAAATTACAATCTCCTAAAATAAATATTCTTTTAATATAAATAATTTAATTTTATGGGAAATAATAAATTTGATTAGTACAATGAAAATTATATAGATTCATTTAAAATTAATTTTTATTTTAACCTCTACATCAATTTATAGAAAAATTATTAATAAACTAATATTAATGTAAATATATATATTTATTCTTAATAAAAATCATTACGTGAACATATCTATCATTTTAGAAATAATATATTTCATTTTTTAATTAATGAAGATGAAAGGAATGCAAAGAAGTTTCTTCAGAAATCTTTGACAACTGCAAATCTGGGATATTTAGGCTACACATACAAGGAATATCTAAATTATAAGCATTAGTGACATGTTAGGTTACCTCTATAATATCTGCTAGAATCTAGAATTTGATATACATCTGCAAATTTCTCAACTATGCTTCAGATATACATAATTCTCTCGCATTAAATTTTGATCTACATACTGCGTAATACGTATAATATCGACCTAAATTCTTAACCAAAATACGATATTGAAATTAAGGAATAGAGGGCGTTCTACACGATCGATAATATTGAAAATAACACTATACTATATCGAGAATAATCGATAATTATCGATATTTTTGATCCAACTCAAAAATTCTCATTTTACCTCCTTTTAACAACAAAATAAATTTGTTAAATATTTTATCACGTAATGGCGGGCATTATGCATGGAAAATACAGGTGGAAAGATTATCGGTAATATTCTGCGTGCTAGTGACTAGGTTGATCGCGTTTGCAATTACCGATAATGCTCGCGATTCGTTAGAGGCCTACGCGGTTTACGCGGTAAAATATCGTGCGACAACTCGCTGTCGCTTTAATCCCGCTATTTATGCACGTGCATCAAACTGGTTGAGCGATTTCAACTTTATTACTTACTCCTCCTCATTCCTCCCTCATTGTTTCAATAATATGTTATTTGAATCAATAATATTCTTCGCGCAAAAGCAGGAATTTTTTTTTTTGAGTACATTATGAAAGAGATAAATTTTATTCTTGAAAAGAGTCGGGTGAAATTATTAACTGGAATTACTGAAAAGCTACGATTTATGCATGTAAATTATTATCAATCTTCGTTTAATATATCTGTAATATATCCTAATATAATTCTACACAGAATTATTCTTGCGAATTTTTATTAACATCGATCGAAATTAATATAGATTTATGTCAATATAAATTTAAACTATTATGAGCTGAATTTATGTTAATTTTGCAAAGTCTTAAAATTACAAGTCAGCATTAATATACAATATTATTTAAAAATATTGAAATTTTCATTCATTTTTTTATATTATACAAATTAAATTACAAATATTTCGTTTCAATATTTTCAGTTTATTTAAAAGAAATAACTTTAAATAAATTAATTAAGTAAATGTTTTAATACTTGAACTGATAGTAGACATATGCTAATATAATTATAGTCAATCTAGGTTAATGCAAATCTACGTCAAGCGATGACTTATACTATTGTGAACCGATGCCAACATTGACTTAATCTACTATGGACCTTCGTTAACGTCGACGTATATTAGCATTGCCTTAGACTATTGTGAACCTACATCAAAATTGATGTAAACGATTGTGAAACTATGCTAAAATATAGAAGTAAATTTCTATAAATGTATTTCAACATTGATCTATGATTATTATCCGTACAGATTTACATATTTGTATATATTAACATTGATTTAAATTACTATATTTCTATGATGATATATCCACTTGAATTATTGAAATGTAATAGTAAAAAAGCATATTTAAAATTTTAAACTTTATCCTTGAAGAATATAATGATTTTTTTTTGATTTTCAAGTAAATTTTAAAAGTCGAAATTTTATAAATTTTTTTAATGATTTTAATGTTAGAATAAATATAAAATAAATATAAAAATAATTAGTAAACTTTATTCTTCAGGAACTTAATGATTTCACTTGAAATTCTCTTCACTTCACTTGAAGTAGATTTTCAGATCTTGAGATCTCAAAATTTTATAAACTTTATAATTATAAAATCTTTTAATATAATTATGTATGTTTTTTTTAATTAATTTTCAGTAATAAAATAAAAAATACTTAATTTTAAAAAAATTCTTGAAGAACACAATGATCTTTTTGAAGTAAATTTCCAGACAATAAGATTTGGAAAATCAAAATTCTGCAAATTCTATAATGTTAAAATCTTTTAAAACTAGAATAAAATTATTTTAGCAATGAGAACTTAATATTCCAACATCTATAAAAGTTAAGTACTCTTAAGAGAGATGAATGTTGGTGGAACTTTGAAAGGAACATTGAAGAATAGCCCAATCGTAATACCAATATGAATACCATTCGAAGCAAACGCATTCTAACGAAGTCGGGAATAGCTGATTACAAAGTTCAATGCGGTCGTTCTGAATCGTTAGACAGAATCTGCCGACATCATACATCACTAGGATACGGTTCCTAGCCCATAAGAAAGGAAACTCCGTGAGAAGGAAGGAAATAATACGGATAAAAGAATGGAAGAACGAAGGTTCTTCCATGAACATTATGCGGTCGGTTAATTTGATTTGCAGATAAAAATAAAAATAGAGGAACAAAGCCTCGAGAGGATAGTAGCCTTTTCGATCCTCTTGAATTTATTCAATGGACATTTGCAAGTAATGCGGAATCCAGTTCTTGATCAAATTGGCAGCAAACATTTCCATTGTGTCCATAGGAGATTCTTACTCTTGGATCATCTGTGATTGTTCAAATGAAAGAAAAGAATAATAATTAGTTAAGTGAAGAATGATCTTATTTTCTATTATATATATTGCATTGTATATTGTACGTTTTTTAAATAAATTAATAATAAAATTTTTCTTTTTATATCTTACTTCATTTGCAATTCGTTAATCATCCTTGTGTTTCATAATTTCTATCGAAACAGTTTTCGTTCTATTTTTTCTTTTTTTTCCTCCGTATGGCGTAATAGAGAACGAAATGAAAGTCGCAATGCGAGTTTGTTCCTGGCTATTTGATTACGTAAAAAGAGAATAACAAATCTCTCTAATGAAATAAAAAAAGGAAAAAATATTTTAACTAGAAGACAGACAATTAAAAAGAAATAAAAAAAAAAAACGACAAAACTATTATTAAACTTCGAATTGAAATATAATGTAATATCTATTTTTTTGAATAATTAATATAAATTAAAAAGAAAAAAAATTCAAAAATCAAGAATATACCTATAATTGATTTGTAAGTAAATGATACCAAAGGAATTCCAAAGAAATAAACAGAGAAGAAATTGGAAAAAGAGCAAAGGTTGGACACGGGTAAATACTCGTGTTCTCGCGTCTTTTACATCGTGTCAACGCTCGTTCAGTTTGTCGAGGGTCGTTTGAACGTGCTTCATCTCATGACTTATGGATCCGCGTTACACTTCACCGATCAACTCGTGGCAACCATTCTGTTTCCGCTCGCTTTCGGCCATGAGACGTGGTTATTTTGTTTGTCGACTGACACAGAGAGTGAGAACACACACACACATGTATGTTCACGCTTCAATCTTGACAATACAATTTACTACAGTTAATTACAATTTTTTGTTTTTATTAAAAACAAAATTTTCACACAAGGAAAGAAATCTGAAAATATTTTAAGTACAATGAATATTTAGCTAAGCTAAACAATTAATAGATTTAAAAAAATTTTTTAAATTGAAGAAAAGTTTGGATTAGGTTAAATCTAGCCCTTACTTACCCTTAGATTGAAGAAAATTTAGATTTATTAGCAAAGTCTAGATTTAGAGATTTCTAGCTTGAAGAAAAGTTTAAATATAATGGAAATCTTTTGCTGTTATTTGAGATTAAGGAAACTTAAGTTATTATTTAGACCTAGAGAATCGTAGAAAGAAACGATTCTTAGATTCTAAAAAAAAAATGTAAATATGATGGAAACTTAGATTTACAATTATTTAAAGATTTAATGAAACTTAGATTTGTTATAGATCTAGGAAACTCTAGATTCAGAAAGATTCTTAAATTGAAGGGAATTTAGTTCTTGTTGTCTAGGTTTAAGCAATAAATCTCTTAATATTTTGAAATTTGGAAAAATCGAAAACTTACTGTTATTCATAATTAGAAAAACGTACGTCGAACATCTAAATACATTATTAATTCCAAAGTTACCCAAAATTCCTATTTACATTAACACAGACATCATTATCCATTCTTCTTTCGCGTTCCATTTATTCTATAGATCCTGCATCCTCCTGCAACAAATCCTGATTCATATCCAGAGACAAGTAAACAGGTCGCGTTAATTTGATTCGTGAAAGAAATATTCTGTTCTATAGCGACGAATTTACTTACCGCGACGCCTGCTCCCAGTCGACTAATTGGAAATTATGTAACGTCAGAGCGACTGTGTTTCCTGTGGAAGGAACGTAGGAGCAACGGAATGGACCGTCTGTTTCCCTGCAACTCCTTTGTTCCTCTCTTTAGTCGTGGAGACGCAAATTATTAGGGGGCGTAATCAACTTTCTCAATGACGCCTCCCTCTTTCCCCTACGTTTCCTTTGTTTTTTTTCTTTGAAAAATTACGCTTTTCCCTATCGCCAGATGAAGGATATTGTACGGTTTAATTAGTCGTTCGGCTATCTTTTCCATAACTTTGTGTCGGGTTTTGATATTACGTAGATACCAAAATGAATCACATCATTGTACCTGTAAAAAGAATAGAGAGTGTTAGATTAATTTTGAATAGAGAAGTTTCGAAATTTGTAATATAATTGTGATTTTGAATATATTTTAGATATATAAAAATGTGTGACATCTTGTAATTATAACAATCTGAAATTATTTTTTAATTTATTTATTTTTTACTATTAGATTCGAAAATAGAGAAGAAAAATATACCTTTAAATCAATCTGTATATTTCTGTGCATTATATAACGATTCGTTCATTTATCGTAACAAATTTCGCGAGAAATTAATTGAACATGGAATAATTAGACTGCTTTACCTACAATATTAATTGACTTTGTTATTCCGTGCAAAACAAATACCCGCCCTCCAGAAGCTTTATAGGATGCTTCATTAATTGACGCGTCATGGTTGCCGCATTTTCTATGAATTAACAGTGACGAAACTTTGATAAATCAATTTAACAGGAAGCAAGAAATTATACTGCGTTGACTCTGAAATTAATAGTTACAATTACACTTTGCTGAACAGGTTGTTCGAACATATCTTCAAGTACTACTGGCTATTTTAAAAAGAAATAATCCTTCAATTTTATCTAAATAAATTTAAATTAATTCCATGAGTACTTAATATTTTTATAATACTTAATTTTCATAAATTCTTCCATAATCTTTCAAGTCCAGATAACTTAACGATTAATCTTAACCTAAAAGATATTGTGAAAACTCAAAAATATTCTTAATTCGACTAAACTCTATTAAAAAAAAAATTTTTCTAATTTTAAAGTCAAGATAATCTTAAACTTTGGCCAAAAAGGAAATACTTATTTGCCTCTTTTTTATCACATGGATTCGTTCGATTTATGGATAGCACAACTCGATGATAATATTTCAAAATGGCGCGAAATAAAGGAGCGAAGTGACAGACCATTAGTGGTAGCGGGGTTTCCTGGAACCTAGATATGAAAAGGTCTTTCTAAACGGGCAGGACATTACCGTGGCGATAATTAATGAAACCGTATACCGTTTTGCCGACATTAACTCGTTAGGAGGGCTTGGGAAATTGTGTCTGCCTCGAGGAGAATTAGGATGAGAATAGTAATGAGGGAACGCTGCGAATAACTTATGTTTCCGTATGTGTGCGTATTTATTGCTCTTGTCGAAATTCTAATTTTATAATCTAAGCTTAAGATTAGAATTTTGATCGAGTTATTAAGCTTAGGTCTGGAATAATTCGAACTTTGGATCTTTTTTATTAGATAAGTTTCATTCGAAATTCGATTAAAGGTTAAAATTGATGGATATTTTTAACTTGATCAACTTGTTTTTGATTAGATAAGATGATAAATTGATTCCTGAAACGAAATAATAGTTAACAATAAAAAAATGTTATGCTATTACAAAATCACTAAAATGTAAAATAAAAATATTAAAAGTAGTATTTTGACAATAAACTAAAAAGAAAATATAATAATGCCTCTCTAAATGGAGCGGTTACACTCATTACCAATAGATGTGGCTTCTTAATAGTTCAATCTACTTGCTATATCGCTCTCGAAAAGAAAATACGAAATTTAATCAAAATTGCACATCATATAGAAGACGAATATATGCCTTTAATTCCTGTCAATACACTAATTGATACGATCGAACATCATTCTTCATATCAAACATTTCTATCATATCGAGGCTATTACCTAACCTCCAAAGAATCGAAAGCCTGATTACGGCAAACAGGGAGATCGATCGAGCTTACAACCATACCATTTTCATCAGCCGTACGAGTTAACGAAGAAACCTCGAAACAGGACACTTGGGTATTTATTGCGCGCGTAAACACCGTCGATCGGCTCGAAACGGCATGTACCGATATCCTGTCCAACGACACACACTACACTCATTTCCCTCGACGATCGCTCGATAGAGGGCGATCAATATCGATATATCGATATACTTGTACACTCGACACTGGCGGCGTTCGTGTAAACCTGGCGTGTGTACATTTTGCGCCACGTTGGATCACGGCTCGCCACCGGATCCTGCGATCGGGATAACCATTCCATCTGATTCCCGAGGGGGTTCTATCCTCTCATTCCCAAGGGATCGACGAACCGAAAACAGGACGGATGAGCGTCGACCGGAAATGAGCGACTGTTGAAAAGAGACGAGTAATTGGGAATAAGGGTTACGATGCAATGTCATTTATAAAATGAATGATTTGGAATTCTGGTTGTCTATTCTGATGAGTCTAACATTTAATTTTGATAATTAGATTGGATTTTTGTGCGAATTAGATTTTATTAAATAAAATTGTAAAAATGAAATAAATATAAAGATATGTTTCAATTTTTACGTATTGCAATATATAGTATATACTTTGTGTATTATTATTGATTGGAATAGAATTCCATTTATATGAACTTTCGGAACATTTAATCTTAAATTCTAGATATCACTTTAATACACTTTAATACACTTTAATACAGTGAATGAATTTGTCTTTAATTTTTTATGAAATTTTTATAAAAATCCATCATCTAAAATATATTAATAATTCTAATATCATTTAAATAAATTCTAACTTCATTTATTAGAATGTAATTTTCATTAATTGTTCGATTGAATAAATTCTAAATAAATTCTTATTATTTAAATTACATTAATGCATTATACAATGAATGAAAAATGAAGTAGAATATAGAACTATACAATATTAGTATAGAATCCATTTATCTATATTTGAATACTAATTATTCGAAAAAAGTTAAAAAGCGAAATATTTATAATATCTTTGATATATATAAATGAAATTCTGAATATGAAAATATGAATCGTATATGACTTTTCCAAATAGTAAAAATCAATTTATATGTGACAAATCTATTATCCCATGGATCTCTGGATCATGGATTTTCACAGATGATTCAAAAATGATTGATTCCTATCGCGGAAAGATGATAGGATCGGCCTACTTCTTCTGTGATCCGTAATTGAGGTCTGATAGAAATAATTGCTCGCCTTCTGTCGCAGGTGGACTGAGATACCGTCGTGTATCGGATCAAGTGAATTGAAGCAGTTCCAAGTGGAATGAGAAGATAGCTTTCGATCAATCCATTAAAGAATGTGTCTTGCCATTTTGTACCGATCTTCGGTTATTCTTCGATGAAAAAAAATTTACCAAATTTTTTTCTTCTTAATTTGTCGATATTTGAAGATAGGATTCTGAGAGACCGATATAAATCATTAGAGAGACTAATTAGCAGAAAGCGCCTGAGTTTGAAAGTTGGAAGAGAGATTTTTTATAAGAAAAAAAGTCATTGAGGAATGATAAATGTGTTTCTATGGCAGCGGTTGATGATCGATACGTAGAGGAAACGAGAATGAAGAAAGTAGGGCGTAATTTTCTTTCGATTCTCATCATGTTATCAAAGTTTCTGATGGACGTTTCGAGCTAAAGACGAATATAGTTCTTGTAACGTGGTGTTGTTACAAGAAGCTGCACACTATAGTTTCGATTAAATCTACGTAAATAGATGGCACCATGATGCAGAGAGTTTCGTTAAGTTTAATTTATATGAATGTGACACAGAGAATGACGTAATTAGAAAGATTAAAACAAGATCCAGAAATCCTAGCTAATATGGATGTGAAAATTTCTGAATTGAAATTAATTCAGATTTAAATTTAAGTAACACATCAGCTTCTAAAAAGTTAATCTAGAAAAGCAATTTAAGTTAACAAGAATTGAAAAGCCTAGAGCTAACCTCTACGTCTCAAGAAACCTAAATCTACATAGATCTAGATCTACGTTAATCTACTCCTTACGTAATCTTATATAAAGCTACTTTGAATCCCTCAGCATTATCTCTGAGAAAAGATAAATCCTTTACAAAATCAAAATTCTACCAAAACATTCTGTCCTCTAACCTCAAAAATTAAATATTTACTCGAGAGCATGGTTCAACTATTTCAATTAATTACGAGTTATTGATTTTCTCAAAATTCCAAATAATTAGAATTCGATTTCGAATTCTTTTCGTTTTTCAACCACCGCAATACTTTATTTTCCTCACGACGTTTTAAAATATGTCTTTGTTTACCGGCAAACAGGAAGTTTAGAATAGATCGCTTGACTCGAATCGATCCGGTTTTTCCCTCGATACTCTCTTTTTCCATTTTCCTCAGCACATCAATCATTGCTGGTTGGACGATCGCTGTGCAAAAATCGCGACGAGAGGAAAGTTATTCTTTAACAAAAGCGCGCTGACGCGGCTTGCTTCCCATCTTGACTTTTCCAACCTCCTCTTATCTTTTTCTCCCTTTCTCTCCCTTTTTTCCTCCTTTTTTTCTTTTCCTTTTACTTTCTTCTTGCTTCTTCTTTGTTTCTCGTTCCTCCTTGTCTTTGGTTACAAAAAAATAATACCATCCTCTTTTGTATTCCTGCGAAGATGTTCTTAGCCTTTCCTCTTCCCTCGAGGACAAACGTCCCATTCTTCAACACGCGTTTTCCACATTTTCCAACCTCTTTTTTCAGCTATTTTCTCCTCGTTGGTCGAGACGGTCATAGGGAAGGTTCGTGTTTTCCGGGCTGACAAGTGGTTCCCCGTTTTTCGTGGTTGCCATGAGTGCCCTCCTTTTTGTTTCTATCTTCTTCTTTTGCCTTGCCTCTCACGGGCGACGTTTTATGAAACGTGTTCTCGGTTCTTTTCTTTTACTTCTTCTCCTCCCTCTCTTTTCCCTCCCCCCTTATTCGTACAATGTAGGTCTGTCAGAAAGCAATTTCCCTTTTGTTTTATATCAGGTATTTTATTTTCTCTCCTTGTACAATTAGTTCCTTCAATTGTTCACTGTTTTTTTTGCCTCATACGAGAGATTCTTGAGATTATGATCCTAATTTAGAATGGAAATGTCGGGATGTTAATTTATTCTTTAAAAAATTCTATGTCCTCGAGACAAATAGGCAAATGGTCTATTTTTTTTTATTTTTATAATTGTTCAATATATTTTTTAACATGTTATATTCCAAGTGTTTCAAATTTAATGATAAAAATGTTTGCCTAACCTCAAATTCCTTCGATTAACCGAAATAACATAATCTCAATTGAAACACATTATTTATCAAATATCTTCATGTAAAATTATCTTTTCTAAATGATCATTTGAAATAAATTTCATCCAAATCTGTTCTCACACACGTATCTAACACACATTTTATCACAACTCATTCGAAAACAAAATAGTAACGACACTGTCACTAACAAACTCACGGTTCGCTTCATCATCAAAGTCAACCACTTTAGATCAACGAAACAAATCAAACAAATTCTCTACTAACCTCACTGGAACTCATTCGTGCGGTCGAGCGCATTTTCGGTGCACGTGATCGCGCTTTATCTATCCTGGAAACCGACAATGCGAGGTTGGTTGATACCAGCCGCGTATCCAGTTTATCATCAGCGGAAATTAAACTAGTTTCGAGGTAGAAACGATATTAGCCGCGAATAATCGGTGTGGAAAACTGGGCCGCATTTATCGAGCCTCGATTCTTGCTTTTCTATTCTATTAACTCGGTATCATCAACCGTGTCTAATCGACTTTCGCTCGAGACTGGCCCATTGTTCGACGAATATCGAGTTCCAAGTCACCTTTATCGGGTTAAATTATTAGATAAGGAAGATCATTGATGCTACGGTTAGGTTAGGTTTTGGTGAATTGGTTCATAAGCCAATGGAGAAATAGTACGAATCTGTGATGTTGCACCAAGTTGCGTGAAAGTTTAGAGGCGAGACCAATCGAGACTTCTGTTATTGTGACCAAGGATTGGATTCGACGAAACTTGTAATTGGAGTGTAATAAAGTTGAAGCGAGTATCGATTGCTGTTGAATATGGCGGCGAGAACAGAGATTCGATGAGGATTTTTGGAACTTTATATGCGCATGCGCATTGTGATTAACATTTAAATAGGGAATTAACCAATTAGTAACAACGCATTTCATGACAAATGTTGTGACTAGATTGTTGTTATTTATGCAAAATTTATATATATATAAAAATCCATATTAAATACAGATCTTAAATTATCAAAATAGAGTTATTAAAATTTTCTTCATTTTATTTTTGAAATCTGATCAACAAAAGATCAGTTACGCATTTCTAATTTTTAAATGATAGTCAATTCAATTAAATCTTTGAGTTTGAAATGTCGAGAAACCGATGCGAATTTCGAACGAATATTTTCGAGACTTTTCTTCTTGCATGTCAGCTTGTTTACGCCGTCAACTGAATATTAATCGAACTCTATGGAGATCTTCAAGACTCGAAAATTTTTTTTTTTTTGAAGTTTCTTACGTGTTCTTCAACATCTTCGTTCAAAGAAAGTTGTAATTGAATCGAGGATGAACTCCTCTCTTTGTTTGAATTTTAATCGAATCCTCGCCAACTTCTTGTTGTCGTCGGCGTATAGATGAATCCTGAGTTTCTGCAATTTAATGGACTCGATTATCAAGCATAAACCTTACCACGAGAAACCATTCATTCCCCATTCGCAAATTTTGCATAATTTATTTTTTTTCTCAATGGATTTTCAATCTTAACCGAGGATGAAAGATGATCTTGTTCAAATTTCATTATTTTTCATCCATTCAAGAAATTTTAATTCTAGCTCGTTTTAAATCTAAGTTAATCCAATTTCATTCATAATTTCATCATTAACGATAAAAAATAAAATGTAAGACAGACTATTCTTTAACATTCTCAAAAATTATCAAGCATTTCCAAAGTATAATTTCTTTTTCTAAAACACATGTGGAAACCAAAAATAAGTGAAGGAGGAATAAAAAAAAAAGAAACGAATAGACGATTCGAGGGATGAAACGAAAACGAAGGATGTAAAAAATAATTTGGAAAGTTTTACGAGGCCTCATGCTTTTTACCTTCTTCTCTGTCCTTTCGCCATATTTCTTTTGCGTGGTTCTAACCATTTTCTCACTGTTCGCCTTTAAATCCGCCCACGTCATTCTCCCTTCCTGTATTGTTTTCCTACAGGGGTAAAACAACGAGAAAGGAGGTCGAAACGACAAGGAAAATTGGCCAAGCTCCGTTTGCACGCGATTTAGAGAAAAAAATACAGGGTTCGCTGATTAAAGAGCGTGGGTCGTAAATTATTTTAAAGCGAAACAAATTTGATATCGTACTCGCAATTTGTTCCGAAGAAACTGAAACAAACATTTGTCCTTCTATTCAGAATATTTTTTGCATATTGAACGTTATAATCTTAGTATGCATCGAGTTTTAAAAAGTTCTTTCTTTCCACGTAAAAAGGAAGAAAGAAAAAGTGTACTTACTCGCTTGAAGCGGCTACAAAACTGATTTTAAGTTGAAAGTTGATCGTCGACCGAGTTTCGACGAATATTGTCGAAAAGAGCCGAATAACATTGGCAAAGATTGGCGTAGAGTATCGTCGATAAGGTAGAATGTTTATATCGTAAGAATTAAGAAATGGAAATTAAATGTTACGATAAGCAAGATTCTATGAATATTATATCTCAAGAAATAATATGCGTGATGTATTCCTATCGTTTCCTATATAGAGAATGAAAAATAATAATGTATCCGTAAGCATACACACTTTAAAAGCAATAAACGTTTTAGAAGAGGTACTATTGCAATAGTAAATATATGAAACAAATCTGTATATGTATGTTTACTTATAATAATAAATAAATCATTAATCATTAACTATTATAATCTTTTTAACATACGAATCACGATTCTCATTTAATCAAAAATATTCAAGCTACTTTTTAGTCACGGTTATTATTTGGATGGATGGTCGTTTAAAAAACAATTGTTTTAATTCATACAATCCATCTATTTAAATTACAACCCATCTATTTAATAATCGCTGCCGATTAAATAACAAAATTCTCAAAGGAAAAATTCTCATAGAAAAGTGTTGTATGATATTTCAAATATTGAAAACGATATTTAAAGGAAAGAGGGTACGGAAATACGAATCGAAAAAGAGGAAAAGGAAAAAGGAGAGAGGAAATGGAAAATAAAAGGAAAGGAAAACGGGGGTGAGTGAACGGAGGGGAGAGATGATAGGGTGGAAAGTGCTCGCGTAGCTTTCCAACGGATCGTTGCTGATAAAGCGCGATAAGCGGCGCCGTGGCACGTTATGAGGACGGAAACGATAACGCCGGCACATTTCCAGGGAAACGTCGACTCGCTTTTCCGCTTAGTCTTTACGCTTTTCGAGCGGCCATGCCGCGAGAACTGGATTCGAGAGGGCGGCTCTCGTATCTCCAGCACAGCCTTGTATCCGGATGCACAACGGATAATTGAATGTGTCCGCGTTTGTGCCCGGTTTAATCCCGCGGCCAGAATTCGTTTAGCTCTTTTGCGTGTGCTCGCGTTTTGTTGTCGCGACTGTTAATCGCTTACATGGAAATCGATACTTTTAAGCTCCTTTCCATGGATTTTCAAGCTTGTTCGATCATCTTTTGAAATTATCCATCACAATTGTTCTTTCTCGAAAAGAGATATGAGATGGAAAAAAAAAAATATGTGATATGCTGCACATTTTTCGAAGTATTATATTTACACTTCTCTCTTAGATTCTTTAGATTTCAAAAGCTTTCATTAAACGTTCCTTCCGAAAGAAATTGCCTGCAACAATTTAGAATACAAGGTATTGTTCCATAAAATTCCACTTGGAATGCGCGAAGTGAAATATTCTTTTCGAATTACCAGCTTACCTTCCTTTATGCTCGTAATCTAATTTCCCCGGAGCGTTACAATTTTCCGGGTTTAAAGTGACAACGTTTTACAGCCAAGTCGATGGAATTATATTTCATTCGTAACACTCAACGTTCTTTCCCTGCTCGACACACGGAAGCTCTTTCTCTTTCTCTCTCTTCACCACGATTCCGCTTAATCGCTATCTCGCTTTCTTTCACTTACACCAACTCGAATACCCATTTCACAGAGGTTTTTATCAAACGTCAGGCTATCAGACACCTCGTTGATAATCGTTTGCCAGTAATGATGATCGGTAGGCATCTATCCTCAAGCTCGATTCCCATCAAGAAATCCCAATTTCCGTTGATTTGTTTGGCGCGAGCGATTCCTCGGCACAAAAGTTCCTCTCACTCCTCCTCCCCTCCCCTTGAGGCATTGTTGCCAACCAGAAACCTCTAATGATTCGGCATTACCGTTGGTATGGTTACTGAAATGGTTGTCTAACGACCGTCTCCCGCGTATGTTCCATTCCCCTGCTGATTTCGATTCTTCCAGTCATCCTCTTTTCCATTCTCGATATACATGTGACTGTTGTCGTTTAAAAAAGAATATTTCAAAGGGAAAGGATTCGCTTCGAACAAAAAAATGCGGGAAAAATTTGTAAAAGAACGTAATGGGATCTTAATTCCCAATAAATTATGAAAAGAAATCGCTAATTTATTCTTGATGATAATATTTATAGAATGAAATGCGATTTAAAATGGAAGAATCGAAAATTAGATAGACATTAGAAGAAAATTAATTTCCAAAATAAAGAAACTTTCGTTTAAATACAATAATACAAGTTAATCATGAATTTAAAACTTCGAATATTTTCAAATATTCCTAAGATAGCACAGCTCAATAATAAACAGAATTTTTTTTATAAAAAAAAATCCCATGATATCGATATATATAGCACAGAGTTAATCGATATTCTCGAGAATCACGAAGACTTCCGTTGACCACAAATCAGCCGTGAAACAGGCATGAGTGTAAATAGTGGCGACTTCCTGTTCCGCGTCGGAAACGTTCAGGAATAATGTATTCCATCGAGTCATTGGGTATACCTCGAAGATCATAGGAATCGAGCCTCTATGAGTATCCTTGCATGTATCGTAAAAGGGCGAACGCCAATTTATAGTTGTCTTTCTCCTCCTCTCACTCTTCTCTTCACTTCTACCGTATTCTAAACGCTTTCGAGTTGTTGCAAATTGCTCCAACCGTCTGGAGAATAGTGATTCCTTGTGGAATTCAGTTTGGAAAGCCTCGTGAAGGATTAAACTAAATGGTGCATGATGTATTGGAAAAATATCACTTTTCTTCTAAGTTAATATTAATCAATGAAAAATATAATATTACAAGGTAAGAAAGTCTAAATTTAGTTAATATAGATACGTTGAACTTAATGCTCTTACATTGTTTTCCTCAGAGTTCTTGAGAAAAAAGATTATAATGCAAATGATTAATATATCGGATGTCACGTGATGTCATCTTGATTTTTTTAATAATATTATTCGTAGTGAGAAATATTTCAGATAAAAGATGAATAATATTCATTCTGGATGCGTCAAGTACATCTGGAAATATAGAAAAAAATATATTGAAATGAAATATTTTGTAAGTAACAAACATTTTAAGCGTTAATACGATTAATAATATCAAGTATCAAAATGTATTAAAATAATCTCATAACTCACTTTACAATATTTTACTATACTTTAAAATATCGACAATATTTTTTTTACGATATCATTATTTTCTACAACAAATAATATTTCTTGATCTAACGTCTTCCAATTAAACTTTTTCCATTAATCTCCCCTCGATATCGCCCTAATCTCAATATATCGTTAGCAAGTAACTATACAGTTTGTGTATCCTTCTCAATCATGTTGATGTTTATCGTGTTTGTTTCCAGGGTGTGTTCCATATTCCTGCGTGTATTCCTGATCGAAGTAGATTCCTACGAGTGAACCCAGACTTTCGACTCGCGTCTCGAAGCGTATCGATATCGTCGCCTCGCGGCCAACCACATACAGGAAAGTGTCCTCTCGACTGGAGGAGAAGCGCAAGTACTCGGCATGAAGGGTGAGTCCTTTGAAAGTTACAACTTACCCCCTTGGTGCTCGACCTGATGCTCGATCGACGACCATCCATGTATCTGACCCCTTATTCGAGGCTACCCTCATCTACATAGGTCGTCTAGCTATAAATTAACCGATAACCAGACTGTTCGCTTTTACAAGCCAGCTACATCATGTACGGTTGTTGTTGTTGTTGTTGGTAGTTGAAATTTTCAAAGTAGAGTAGATCCTCTTTGAGGGTGATTCAGGTTAACGATTCATCCGATCGAAGTGGGGTGTTTACTTTTATGGGTCATCCAATTTGGTCAATTATTCAACTAGGCTGAAATATATTTTTTTATGAATAAAAAAAATAGATTTTAGTTATGTTTTATGTATGGATTAAAATGAATTTTATGTCTTTGAAATCTCACAATCAGAGAAATATTATAACGAAATATAATATTAATCTGGTATTACTAAAATCATTCTAGAATAAATACTTAATATTAATTAGTCAAATTTGTTTTAATTTTTTTATAATTGTTTGTATATTAAAATTTTTAATTTTATTATAGTTTTTATTATAGTTATGTACACTTTTAATCGTATTTATTTGTATAATAAATCTAAATATATATTATAAGTTGATAGCTTCAGTGTTTCAAAACAAATTAAGTTTAATTTGTATAAAACAATAATAATATAAACAACAATATAACAATACATATAATACCTAACCTAGAATAGCAAATATGTTATTGATTTTTTATACATTTATGCATTTTGAAAATTTAAAATATAATAATATACATGTAATACGTACCATACCATCAGAATATCAAGTTATTGATTAGATATAATTTATAAGAGCAATAATACTTTAATGATGTACTTCAAAAATTGAAAAACCGAATCTACTAAATTCGAAAAGGAGAAAAGAACGAAAAAAAAAAGAGATTTATTCATCGTGGGCAAAATAGAACGTGAACGATCAACGAATGGTCGATTCAGTAGTTGAAATTTATGCGAATTCATACATATTACGCTTTTGGTACGTGGAACGTCTCTGCGTGAGTGGTTTTCCTGATGATAAACACAAGTTACACTCATAATCCTACCTCGAGGAGATATCGAATATCCTCCCCACCACACGTTTGAAATTCGATTTACGCTGTGTTTCTCGTGGCGATATATCTCGTGGCAATCGAATCGAATATGCAAAAAAAATATTAAGATCATTCGCAATTTCCAACATTTTTCCTTGTATCTTTGATAAAATTTGAAGATCTGAATGAAATTTAATTGCAAATTATAAATACTGTAGTAAAAGCAACGAAAAATATTATAAAATTGACAAGCCAATGGGATTAAAACACAATTCTGATTGGTTGAGCGTGTAGTGCAACGAAAAGGACATTCTCCATGGTCCGCGATCAATGAAAAACTTTGCCTTAGTTCGAATATAGAAAAGAAGATGGAATCGAAGTAAAGATCCATTCTCGTCGCTATTTGAATATTTCTTTTCAATTTCACAACGTAATAATTTATTATTTTTTATCATATTTCTATGACCAAATATCTCTATTGATTGAATCCAATTAATTAATTAATATTTCCGATAATATACAATTAGTGACATGTAACTTATCACAAATTTTACCGTGCTTCTCAAAAATATCAACAATTTTAAACATTTTTATCTCTTTAGAATTTTATTTTTGATTAATTGTGAATATATATGGAATTTTGAACAAAATTAAATATTGATATTCTAACATCTCTCGACTAAATTGTAAGAGGTTAACTGATATTAACCGATTTAAGGAAAAAAATTCTGAATATTTGAATATTTTAGATTCTGGATATTATATCGAGAATCTTTTACTTTTTAAACACACTTCATATATATATATATATATACATTATCTTTTTTCTCTTCTCTTCACAGCTGTGTGTGATGTAGGTTAAAAGATGAAAAGATAACAAAAGGAGACTGCGGAGAGATAAAAGATCGATGAAGTTCTTAATGGAGGCAGATTAGCGGATTGAAAGATCTCTGCCTCGAGATATATTCTCTCGCGAGGAACAATTCCTTGGCGCTTCTTTATCGAGTTCTCGATAGTCTAATTCGTCGTCGAATGGTTCAAAGGGACAGTTCTCTTTCAAGTTTCTTCTTCTGGGCGGTAAGGTTTAAGGATTAGAATGGACTTTTCAGAGAAATTGGATTGCAACTCTTTTTCTAATCACACGAGTATCGATAATTAGATTTAAAGATTTAAAATATACGAAGATAAGTAATTCGAAAATTTGTAAACTTTTAGTTCTCTTCAAAATGCCCGAAAATAAATTCGTTGCGAAACGATTCACAGGAGCAGAATTTCTTCGGAAATTTAAGGATCGTTCAATGGACTTTTTGGAGAATATTGGAATTGTCGTTCCTATTGTAACTTCAACGCTAAGTAATTCTTAAAAATTCTTACAATAACAAAGCAAAAATCAAAATTTTAAATGTATCTTTTTCTTCTTCTTTTTTTTTTTTTTTTGTTTTAAGAATTGGAATTCACGATGATCTTTTTCCCGTGATTTCCCAACGAAGAAAGAGCGACGGATTTCTTTTGAAACGAAGGGAAAGAAAGGATGTCACTGAAAATGTAGAACAACCGGGTTGACGGGTTGCGTGCGAGCAATCTGCGTGTTGGCTCGATCTGGGTCACAGAAATCGCTGGAAACGTAATTTCAGGATACGCGTTCGACGCCCTTTTCTTCGCCGCCTTCCGTGACCCGCTTTCCCCGCTTGATCGCTCTTCAGACAACCTTGGGGATGCTTCGAATACGTCTCTTCGTTGTTACATAACTTTTAAAAAATTGTCTTCTCTCCATTCGATAGATCGATTTTCGTTCGAAATTATGCAAATATGAATCGTAAAATTTTAATAAAATTTCACGGTAAATACTGATTCATTATTGTCATGGATAATATTAATTTATAAATCGTTTTTCTTTTCTCGATTTGTTGTCGCTTTCGCTCCTCGTGAAACGAAATTATACAAATGGATTTTAAAACTAAAAGTTGCATTATTGACTAAACGGTGATTCGCTTTCCCTTGATGGATTAGTATTGAAAGAAAACGTAAAAATTTTAATCTATAAATTGTTTTCTCGTTTTCTACACAAAATTATTCAAATGGATTTTAAATCGTTACACTGCACAAAATTTAATCAAACGTATTTTTAACTTAAAAAGTTTCCCCTGACTTGAAAATCGATTTATTCTTTGCATATTAAGGAGGATTATAAACATTTTTCATGGCGTAAATTTCAGTTAATACACCATAGCACGAAGAGAGATTCGAGGGCCATGCAACGTTTCCTTCACAATGAGCTGTTTTATCAATGGCCGCCATTTATAACATAAATCGCGCAAAACATTCCCCTAAATTGGCAAGAAATGGTGAAGGAATCTTCGCCGGTACTTAACCCAGAACACCTTCTCGGATCCCTTTTCGGGGCAGAAAGATTCGCAACGATCCTGATGATGACTCTTCTTGCTCCAGAATCTTGATAAAGAATTCTACTTTTCCTGAAAAAAAGACATCTCTGGAATCTCGAGATTCAATTCGATCAATTACGATTTGTGTTGCGCGAATGATCAATTCGAAAATTGGAAAAAAGAAGGTAATTCGAATCTTAAAAGCATAATCTTCTTTTGATCTGAAAGTCTAATTCTTAATTCTTTTACTTTATTACTCTTTGTGTATTCTTCTTTTAATTCCAAAATTAAATTTTGTTTTAATTAATCTTATTTCAATTAAATCAAAGATTATTTTATTCAAAAGAGCCATCATATACTTTAAATTAAATCCTTATATATCTTTTTTCTTTTGCAGTGAATTTTGTATGCATCAGTTCTAGAGATTAAAACAAATACAAAAATATCAAAGTCTCAATAGTCTGATATTTTTATACATTAATTTTACACATGTTAGAATCGACTCTCTAAATCCACAAACACTTTCAAAAGAATTCTTTGAAAACCAAGAATTACACATTACAAAATCTACTAATCAACACATTTCCTTTCACACAATAACAATAAAGATTTAAAAAAAAAAAAAGGTAATTCATAGATACATCACATTTATACACTGCATATATATATATATATATAATTCTAAAATTTATACTATAATTAGATTATATTCCAGATTACATTCTCTCAAAGGAATTCTACCTCTAAGAAGAAATTACTAAAAGAAACCAAGAATTACACGTTATGAAATCAGAGAAAAGACTTAGCAAGATCTGCAACTCTTCCAATTATTCTTCAGTATGTATCAATCAAATTAAATCCTTCCACCAACAACGAGAAAACAAAAAAAAAAAAAGAAAAAGAAAAGAAAAGAAAAAGGAAAACAAAAAAAGAAAAAAAGGAGAAGAAAAAAAATAGAAAGAAAAGAAGAGGGATAGACTGATAAAAGAATAGGTGGAGCGGATATCGCAGCGATTTTGAGCAGGAGGAGGAATTGCAGCCCCTCTGGCGACCGAGCAAGGGGTAGCAGTGACACCACGACCCAGATACGGGCCATTGTGCACCGTGTATAGTAGGATTGCGTCACAGAGCTCGGCACAGCCGCAACGTCGGCTCCGGATTCCGGCCGAGGCTGCTCGAACTCGATCGTTTTCCACTGACGCAGTAGTCGGTCGCTGCCGTTTTTCAGCCACCCTATTTCGGTCAATTCTTGACCCACTTGGCCGCCCTACGTTTTTTTTTCTCTCCTCTCTTCTTCTTATTCCGCTTCGTTTCCTTCGATCGGGCCTTTGCCCCCCTCTTTCTGGATCTTTGATCGAGGGATTATGGGGTGATTTTCGATAGCGATTAGATAAATTTCTGATTGTGTGGAATATTAGAGTTTTTTAACTTGTGATTTTAATGTCTTTTTTTTTTCACTCTTTTGTTTTCTTTTTAAAATCGAAGACAAGGGAAGGTGAATGATGAATGTCCATCTTAGAAATCCTTCTAGTTCAATTCAACGTAGCAGAAAAATAAAATTGGAACTACTTAAAATTTTCGAATAAAGTTAGTTTAATTAATTGCTTCATTTATTAAAATGCTCGTTTATTATAGCTATTATATTTCATCCATTCTTCATATATAATCATTTGGCGCTTACAATTATTTGCTATTATATTATTATTATTATATTTTGAACAATAAATTATGAAAGTAACTTTATTCGCACCTTCAACCATCAAATTTTACCCCAACTTGAACAAATTTCTTTTCCTTTCTCAGAGAAACTACATTGAATTTCCTCTCCGCAGAGGAATATATAAATTCCAACTTGAAAACTTCCGTCCAAAGCTGAAACGATATATATATCTCCTCACATAATTGTGATTTACACGTATTTGTAACTTAGTTTCACTGATCAGAAATCACAACAACAATTAGAATTCATAAACTCGAAGCAACTTCGTTTCACCTCCTTCCGTTTACTCGTAAGTACACAGTTCGAAGGGAGAGGGAATTTTACCGACGTAAGCGTAAATCGACACGGTTTCAACTTATCTGGCAGCCGTGGTCACGCAGGAGCCGCGTGTAGCTCGAAAGGAGGTGGAAGGGGGGAGGAGGGCGGATGTTTCTGACAAGGGAGGAGGAACGTTTAAGCGACTGCTTTTACCCGGATCGTTAGCGCGCTTGCTCTCCTTCAGCTTCTGGACCGCTGCCTAAATACACGAAAAGTTACTATTCGCAAAGTTAGTGACCGGTTGGTGAATTTGCCCAAATGCGGAGGCTTTCAAATATGAATCGACTCTAACATGGACATATATATATATATATATACAGTTCTCGTGAAAGTATTTGAATGATATCTTACAGAGAATGTCGTCAGTTTCAAAATCATTGTGATTTTGAAAATAAAAGTTTGTATAGAACGTGATGAATTGGATATGGGTTACAATTTATTCGTCAATTTTTCGAAATTTGAAAATGATTTTGAAAGTAAGATATATCGATTGTAATTTATTTATTTGTGATTATCTTTTATTCTTAAATAATATCTAAAATATTTTAAAAACTACGTTTAGAATCAAATTCGAAAGTATAAATCCTATAAATAGAAATATTTCCAATCAATAAATTTCATCTTTCCCTATTTAAATAAATTTCACTTGTCAATTTCCAAAAATAACGAAAGAATTTAACGCATGGAAACCCTATATAAATAATATAATGATACGTAAATAATTCTCTTGAAACAATTCATCCCTTTTTCCTCTCTTTGACAAAAAACATTCCATTCCGCGATAAGTATCGGCCATTAAGAGCTAAATCCACAAACGAAAAAATATAAGCAAACAACAAAGATAAAGGAACGATATCGAAACTAGAAAAAAAAAAAAAGAAAGAAAAGACACTCACGCACATTGTTCCAAGACCAACAATCCAAAATGAAACGCGTACCTATCCACAAAAAACTGAAGAAAAAGCAAAGAAGTTGAAACACGATCGAAGCGAGACAACGGTCGTAAATAAGAAGACAACAGGAATGGTGGGTGCACGTGCAGAGTCCATTGGCGTGGAAACAAAGGATGGAAGACCAAAGAGAAATGCCTCGATGCTTTCCAGGTTTCTGCGTTTAAAACGCGTGTCGAGCGAATCGGTGAAACGGATGAAGAGAAGAAATTCTTCTCTTGGAAGAGAGGAGGAAGAGAGAAAGAAAGAAAAATATGGAGGTGAGAGAAAGGAAGAGGAGAGAGAAGTTAAAAGAGCGGAAAGGATCTGGCGAGAAGAGGAGGAGGGGAGTTTCGATGTCTCTAAATCGTTCCCGCGAATTCGAGCATTCGTCTATCCACTTGGAGAATGAATGGGCTTGGCTAACCGCGACCATGCTTGTAAATAAGGAAGAAACTTGTGGTAGCTGGCTTCTTAGGAAAATATGGGTATTTGTCTATTTATCGCAACTTTCTGAAAATTTTAAAATTTTAAATGGTGTATTTAGATCATAATTTGGAAATTTACGAGCAATCTTTGGTCTTTTTTTCTTCTTTAATCAGTTTGTTTTTTTTTCAAAGATTTTTTTTTCATGTTATATACTTTGGTTTAGAACATCTTCTTCATTTTATTTCTAAAGAGTTTAATTGATTTCTCAACGCTCCATATAATTTCAAATAATAAAACATAAAATAAACAACTTACTAATATTCACATTTTGTATAATATTCACATTAGTATTCAAATAATATTCCAAAGCCGTTTTAAAATTTAATCACTTCTTTCAATAATCAAAAGATAGTCTCTTTCCTCATCCAATATCCGACCAGTATCCCAAACAAGTTTCATTAAAAAATATCCTCGTCAAAGACGAAGAGCATTCTTTTTCCATCGAATTCCAGTTAAACGAAACAGTTTTTTTCTACGATCCAAGTGCAACGAAATTCTGGACATTGATCGAGGGTATGTCGGATAAATAAACGAATAAATGGAGCGAGAAGAGAGTTCATGTGGATGATCGCGATTCAAAGGACTGTCTGTGGAATTCCAGGAGATGCAAAGCGCACCTCTTCAATGGTTGCTACGCTCTTGGATAACGAACAGCTGTGAGACGCTCTTGCGAAAACGGTCTGGAATCCCTTTGAGTCGCGATAAGTCGCGGATTCTCCTTCGTTGATTCGATATCACTGACCATTCCTTTCCAGAAATACTAGTAAGATTCTGTAAAGAGAGAAGATAGAAGGTTAGACGAATTAGAAGTCTCATTTGACGATTGACGAAAGTGGGATAATGATTCAAGATTATTTTCAAACAATTGTGATTATATTTGGTTATCTAACAAAAGATCGAATTAATTTTGCTTTTTTTATTGATTGTTACATCGTGTCAAATATTAATTCTAGAATGAAGAATTCTAGAATAAAGAAGAGCTAACTTAACCTAACTTTTATTAAGCGCTACACAATTGTTTTGTTACGATCTTTGTCGTATTCTAATTTTTTTAAAAATAGATGTATATATTATTCATTGTATTAAATGTTAATTTTAATAATAATTAAGGAAAACCATCGTATTAAATATAAAATTTTATTATCGTTGAAAGATCTAACTTAAATCTTTCATTACGCATATATGATGCACTACTTACTTTCCAAAAGTTTATCGTATTCCAATTTTCTTTAGAATAAATGCATATCATATTTCATTAGAAATGAAATATTAATGCTAAGATGAGAAGATGAAAAGATATTATCATTGGAAGAGTTAACCTAATTTTCATTACACGTTATTCACATATACGTGACATATTAATCATTTTAAATACAATCCTATTGTATTTACTTTTATTTTTGTTAGAAGTTTTATTCGGGATCTAGAACATTATTTTCATTAAAAACAATCTATCTTTCTCTCTTCTAATCTTTATCCACGTATAACTACAATAATTCTTATTATTTATTTTTACCTACACTTCACTTTCAATTTATACGTCTTTTAATGGAAAAACAAGACGGAAGATCATCTTTTTATTAACTTAATAAAATTCTATTCCCCTGTCCCACACCCACTCCTTCCATTATTTACGTAACGCACGTATCGTGGCAAGAGGATCCATCTCGAAATTCCGCAATGTTGCCACAAGCGATAGTCAATCAATAACACAAGCTTAATTAAATTCCTACAATAAATAACCCGTAACATAGTTCGCATGATAGAAACCTCGAAGAATTTCCCCTAGAAAATCGATCGCAAAATAATCGAAGCTAATATCGATAAATTCCTCGTTGCATAACCTTCAATTGGCCAATTTATATCGCGAAAATTTCGCAAAAATTTCCACCAATATCTTTCTGCCAGTTGTGAAACTAACGATTCGTTCCAGCGCAATTAACGTGCCTCTAATTGCGCATCAAGGGAATGGGAGAGGGGAGAATTGTCAGGAGACTTATGTTGCCGAATTTAACGAGTTTCTAACCAATCCTCTCACGCGTGACAATTTTCGACAATGCATCTGACTTACGAGTTTCATTTATCGCTAATCAACGATCGATGAAACGTTGGGTGACCGATTTCTGACAACAGAATAAACAACAGAAATAACGTAGAGTTATAACAATC